AGAAGATTAAGATAGTGGATGTTTACATTGAAACATAGTAATCAAACAGCTACACAGGTTGAAATCAATTGTAATCACGATTTGAATCCAATCCTGCACTATTCTGTTTTGCTTTCTTTCTCTTCTCTGCCTTACCTTTAGCATTTAATTATAATAATAATAATAATTGCTTACACTTATATAGCGCTTTTCTGGACACTCCACTCAAAGCGCTTTACAGGTAATGGGGATCCCCTCCACCACCACCAGTGTGCAGCCCCACCTGGATGATTTACCCACTGTTTGGCTAGGGGCAGCACGATGCTGCAGTGGTGAGCATTGCTGCCTCACTCAGTTTAATTCTGGTCCTGGGGTGCTGTCTGCGTGGGGTTTGTATGGTATCCCCATGTTTGTGTGGGTTTCCTCCGGGTGTTCCTGTTTTGTTTGACATGTTATAGAAAAGATATTGCTGCTCTAGAGAATAACCAGCCAGTTGCAGCATCAGGGAAATGTCCTAAACTGACAGGATTCAGGAACTGGGTCATTTTAGTCTTGAATAGAGAAGGAACAAGTAAGGGTTTATTCCGGATGAAATGAAAAGAAAAAAGACACAACATTTCAACTGAAGAAGAAGGCTTCAGCTGAAGAAGGCTCTACAGCCAAAACTTTGTGTCTTTTCTCTTTTCAGCAGGGGATAAAGCTTTACCTGTGCCTTTGCAGCCCACGCATGCTGGCGCAGCTCCCTGCGTGAACAGAGGAGGCCTGATACAGGCACGCTCTACCCTCCGCCTTATGGGAGCAAACCGCAAGCCATTTTAGTGAAGCTGATACCCTGGTTCATTTCAAGAAATGGTCGGATGAGATCCTTGTTTCAATTAACTACTCAAGACCCAACAGGTCAGATGGGCACAGTGGCCTCTTTTTGTGTTTGAAGCCATTGTTCCTGTCTCTTCTTCTTCTTTACACGAGAGCAGTTTATGGCTGCGGATGTGGCTGCAGCTCCGAGAGACATGTAGACAACCTGCAGGTAGTAGGAGTTCAGGGAATCAGCTTCATGTTAGGGGTCAGTTAATGGGACAGTACATACTCCACAGAGGTATGGAATATTAGTCATATTAGTCGCAGGAGTTAGAGCAGGATGGTAATGGGGGGTAGAAAAACTGGGGCAAATTTTTCACAGGGCCAACCCAGTTTTAAAGGTGCCCTGTTTGCACCACATCTCCTCCGTGGGATGAAAGATACGTAATGAAACTTCAAATCTTTAACAGCTCTCATGTTTCACAACATTGAGAAACAGAATTCTGTAACTCTGTTCTGCTGTGTGTACATATCCAACGTTTGCAGCCACAGACAGTTGTTAATATTCCCATTCCAGTAATGCATAGTAATTGCTTGCTGTTGCTGCACACTATAGCCCTGAGAGACACATGTATGAAGTCTGCACCATGCTGTATTGTGCAGAATGGGGAGAGCAAAGAGCAAGGCTGTTCCTTAACGAAACAGATTTATTAGAAAAAATCCTGGCTTGACAGCCAAAAATGCTCTAAACAGAACCTTTATTGACCTGAAAGAAATGAACTTACAGGGTTGCAGGCTTACATACACTTCGCATTGTTACATTAAGGCAATTATATATACATAATATTTAGAAATCGTGGGTGATGTAGAATTTAATAACATGCACAATAACATGAAGCAGAAATAAAGCCTTCTTAAATGTGCTGTTTTGAATGTTGAAATTGATCATAGCAATGTAATTTGCATATATCCCTTCAAATATTCAAATAAATAATGTGTTGTTTTTTGTTCTTGTTTCACATACTGTAGCCTTGAGTTGTGTTTCTCATAAATATATAAGGTGTACTGTCTCGATATATAAATATGCAATGTACATGTAACATTTAATTACAGCATATGCTCAAAAGTTAGTTTTCCATTTTTAAAATGGGATTTTGCATCAAAAAACCCCGAGGGGCTGAGTACTGTTGTTAGTCATCAGCGTTTCAGCCATTAACGATTCAACTGCCATATCAATTTAGAATTTAGAAAGCAGTTTATGTCACAACAAATTTTATGTGAAATAAAATTTGTGGCAAAAACAAAGAAAAAGTGACAAAGCTTTCAGCCTGTGTTCCATTTCTTGTTAACAAACAGACCCTGAAAGGTCCTCCGGTCAAAAATCAGAAAGGCTCAATTATTTTGCATTACGTCAGATAATTCAGAAAAAGGCTTGTGCGTGGACTGCCGCTTCACACAGGGAATTCACTATGCTCCATGTGTGGGAGTACAGCTGCAGCCCCAAATTAAATTATTTACACAATCTGTGCATTTATTCTGAATTTGTAAAGTTATCCAGGGCCTTTAGCCGATGTCTGAATGTTTTGATAGAATTTTTCTCTGATGCAAAAATCGTTAAATGAACCATACTGTGCCTTGGCTTACGGCAACTTTCCGACCAGCCACTGCATCACCACTGTTCGAAGAGCACGTCGGCACTTTCCACTGGGCATTTTAGATAACCAACAAATTATCTCACGGCTTACTTAATTTGCCAATTAGTTATTTAATTTTAGGAACAGTTAGCAGGAATCCTTTCACACTAATTAGATTGGAACACATTACTGGGAAATTCTATAGCTTACAGCTATGCTAAGATGCTGAGTCTGTGACTAGACCTGACAGAGACAGGAAAACAGTTCTTAACATCCAGAATACATGGGAAAATGTCCAATGATTACAAATTGTATAGGTATTCTTCTGTTTGCCTCTGCACAAGTGAGGATTTATTTAGTAATGACTCAAGCTTTATGGTACTTGAGTACTTCATTCAGATTAAGTTATACACTAAATTAGTACTTAATTAAGATTTCCTCACAGTCTCTTCTTTTCACAACTGTGTAACATTCCTTTTGAGGAATGAGGAAGCATTCTGGCTGCTCTTATATGATCTCTTTCATTTAATATCAGCACTTTTCATGATGTGTTTGCCTCTTTGTTGCTTTTTCATGTTGTCACACCCCACACTCTCCCACGCAAACGGCATTGCATTCCCAGAACCACACACCTTCCCATGCTCACTATTGAGAAGCCACTTGTAGTATTCTCCTATGTGTGGTTCCAAGCCTTTTGACTGATCTCCTGTTACTAATCTTTGCTCCTGCCTTTTGACCTTGCCTTCTGGATTTTGTCTTTTAGATTGTTTTTTGGATATCTCTCGTTACCAGACCCTTTGGATTTCATCTTTTGGATTGTCCCTTTGCTACTGTATTCTGTGGGATTCATGGTCACACATAAGGATCCTCCAATTCTACCAATAGGTTCCTTGACACATGTTGCTTTTCATTGAAAGCAATGACAAAACAATATGCACATCCAAATTATTTTCATGTGATACTATTTCAGGTTAAATACCAAGTTTGTCATCATGACATTCTTGCTACCTGTATGTAATACTTCTATCTCCACCTTCTGAATGGTGTCCAGATGTAATAGGTTTACTAACTATGTGGGAGTAATGTTTATTGACATTAATAAATCAATAGAATTCTTAATAAAGAATTAATAGAATAATGAATGTTAGATCCCGCATAGAGCCCTGTGGCACTCCATTAATCGTATCACTGCCTTCTGGACTATCACCTCTTTCAGTTCTCCATCCACAAGCACACACTACCTGGGTTTCAGTTACAGGATCTGTCTTCTTTGAAATGCTTGAATAGTCTTTTCTAACCTGCCTTTCTTGAACAGGGATAAGCTAATTGTTAGGTTGTCATCCACTTCAGCAGATGAGGAATTCAATGAAAGTGGTGGCATTTTCATTTGATTTGTCATTTGTTTTTATTTGCAGATTCAGAAAGGGCCATGATGCAGTTTATTGACCCACTTTAACTAATCTATATTTACTGCCTGGCCTGTAGCTCCCATTTGGAGTCCTGATGTTTCCAGTTATTGCTACTGCTTACAATGTTAGACAAGCTGATTGTAACTGCACTAATTGCTGATGAAGACAATCCATAAAAATCAAACACGGAATGTCTGGTCACATAGCACCAACTTTCACACAGGACACTAAATCTTCAAGTACTTGGTGGATCTCCTAGGTGATTATTCTCACCATTTACTCTAAGAAACTAGTTTAAACTGGAACAAATGGTGGCAATAGGTAAAAATGTCTTTATATTGCTTATTGACACAACAAGAAGCACAGGGTTCAAAGGTGAGCCAAGGTAACCTCTACTGACATCATAAAGGTACTTATTACAGGGCCATTATCAATGAGACATGCCTCTGCTTCAGTAATCAAAGTGTGGTACTGAGACCTTATTGAACTGGCCTTTAGAACAAAAACACACTCTAAAAAAGATGTGCTCCTTTTGTTTAAGTTGAGCACATAAATGTAGGAGAAACGCTTTTTTGTATATTTAACTTGTTGTTGCTGCTGCTGCTCTGCATTTTTGTTTTTGGTGTTTCCTTAATGTATTTGCATTGAAGCACACAGTATGTACACATAAGCATCTCATTGCACTTGTGCATCTGACAATCAACTGGAACTAAAGCGAAAAACATACACTATAAAGTCAAACAATGATCAGTGCCCTGTAGCTTGGTCTTGTCATACAGTATGTCATTAATCATGACTGGAACTGGTCAGCAGTGGCATGGGAGGTTTCCAAGGAAACAGACATTGCTTCTGTAAGTGGTGTTAGTACACCATATGTGGCACTCTTCCCTGCAGACCAGACTTTCCAAACCGGTGCCCCAGAGTGGTGACCAGGGTAAATGTGCTGCAGGTGGAGCTCAACTTCAGAGAAGCCATTGAACTCTGAGGTCCTGACTGCCTGGACAATGAGGATCGGAAAGCACAGCTCTCACAAGAAGGGGTGTTGACCCCAGAGTATAAGTTAAATTACAACATGGCCTCACTAAAGCTCCCCCTTAATTCAAGTGCTGAAGCCATCTCTCCCTCCTCTCCCAGGCCTGCTGCTGGCACAGAATGCTTGCTCCACATCAGTGCTGGATGTGCAGGGTCCTCTCCACCAAAGGGAGTACAGTATTTGTGATCCTCTAGGACGAACACAATGCAAGTGAAAGTAATTATTGCTGAGTGAAAGTACTGCAATATTTTTCCTGCTCAAAGTAAGTGTTTGATCTTACTTTGTTGAAACCAGGGGTCATGTCTACTGTAACAACTGTCAAAACATCTTCATAAGATAACTCTGCTTGCTCTTTGATCCTTCCCATTGGACTAACTGTCCAATATTTACTGCGGGCGATTACTAATTTTGTGTTTTTCATCTGTATTGCTGGTACTGTTGATTAATTCAGTATTAATACATTTCAATTACTGCCCTAAACTTGGCAAACCATATATTTAATTTCCCGCAAAATTCAATACTGAATGTTAAATCAAAGCTGATTTCAGTTACAGCACCCTGCACTGTTGAATACAACAGCAGAAAAGTCTTCAGAAATACTTCTTTCATGTGTTTTGAAGAAAATGAAGAAAAAATGAAGAAAAATTTCATACTCTACATTAACCTTGAAATAACCATGATATTCCATCATTCATTAAAAGAAGAACCCAAACCTCCTTTTGTGCAAGCTCCAATAAACTGGCTGCAGAATGTTTCTGGTTCTGTAAACCTTTACCATTCAGTAGGAAAGTAGCAGCATGGTTTCCAGCTGGAAAGGAAACTGGGATCGGTACAGGTGTTTAAGTAAAAAACAACGAACGGTTAAGGTACCTGGCATCCATATTGCAGAAGAAATCGATTCTTTTAAATTGCCTGGATCACTGAGACCTGCTGTTGTACAACATATATCACCTCTCAGAAAGCTGGATTGAAAAGAGCACCAAAGCCTCACGTTAAGAATAATGACCTGGAACCTGATGACAGTCTTTCAAATAAGGACCTATATCTCTTATTAATTATCTTTAACTGTAAACACCCTTTTGTTTTCAAGTGTAAGCACAGAATCCATTTGCCATAAAATAATCACACCTACATGACCACTGTTGTTAGCTGTCAGTCAGAAATTCATTTTTCCCTTTGAGTCAGAGTCAAAAGTCGGATTGTTAAAATGCCATTGGATAGTAAATGAATAACAGTTCAATATTTCTTACAAGAAAAAGCCTTCATATTCCTTTTTATCAGGTATAACATTTGTGACAAAGCTTTCATTATCCAGATCTTGAATATAATAAGTAACTGCATGAATCACTGACCTTCTTCAAGGTCTTCCATTATTAAAAAATTCAATGTCTGAGTGCCAGAGCTACTGTAGGTAACAATGTCACAAATACTGCTTAAATAATAACACTCCTCCGTTTCAGGAGCCAAACAGATGTCCTTTGCTGGGAATTATGCTTTTGAATTATTCTGTAATGATGTCTACCAGGAGTGCAGCCACCGAAATACTGATGTCTTCAATCTATCAGGTAATACTGAAAAAAAAATCATAATGGTTTTAATGGAATATCAAACACATTAAAGCAGCATTAACTGACATCTGCAACCTGTTTAATTAACTATTTTTGTAATAATTCATCAATCCCATAGACAATTACAGTAATGGGTACACAAAAAATGCTAAGCCACAGTTTTTCAGCAGATGCTTTCTTTCCTTTTCATTTCAGTGTTTCTTGGGCTCTGATAACAGATGCTTTCTGGTCAGGTGAGAAATTCACTTTTAGCAGCAATACTCCTCGAGAGCCAAAATCCATCATGATGGTCCTTCGGCCACTGGAGAATTATAGACTTGGCCTTTTCACCTTCAGAAGACTGGATATGAAAGAACTGTGTCTGGGCCTCAGCAATCTCCCCAGGAATCACATTTTGACTTCACTCTGCTTCATAAACAAAGGTATCCTGTCCTACTAACACTCCTGTAAGTCAATTTACTGTTAGAATTCTAAAGGGAAAGTCTTCACATTATTTACTAGTCACCGTATCTCCAGTACATCTGCATTTTGTTGTACAGGCTGCCTGGATTTGATCTTGACCACAACTTCTCCACATTAAAGAAATGAAACTGAACACCAAGATTTAAAGGTTTGTCATGCGGGCAAAAACAATGAATGTCAAATAACTACATGGTGCAATATTTATTTAAGGCAGTGTTTGAGATTATAAGATGTATTGTGCAACCTGGAAACCATATAAAATATATTCCCAGTCAAACAATAAATTATTTTAAAGAGAGTTTCACTTATAGGATATCCACAGGCTTGGCTTAGTGGGAATAAATACATAAACAGAGACGACTGAAGCCCATGGTTTAAGAAGAGGACAAATATACACTCATCAATGAGCTGCTAGATTTTCCATCAGGCTGAAAACCACACACTTCTCTGAAGATTCCAGTGGGACACCTGCAGCAATGCTGGCTTTCATGTGAGGTCTGGAGAGCTGTCTTGATAAAGACAGGAGCTTTATACCGCTGCCACTATAATTACCCAGAAATACAACTGGCAGTGGCTGAGCGTGACACCAGGCACTGACATTGCTTTCATAAATGAGTTTCTCATTACTCTGCCTTCATCTAGATAATTTCATTTAGTGACCATTTCAGGAAAACGGAGAGTTACAAATTCAGATAGGATTTCTGGCACCTGCCTTGAAACATGTGAAAATTGACTCTTACCGCGGAACAGGGATAGTGTTGGATAATGTAGCCCTGTGCAAAGAGCAATCAAATCAAAGCATCTAGGATTGTCCATTACCCCACTTATTTTGCAGAGCAGAAAGCCTGAATAGATGTTAAAATGTGTATAAATAATCAAAAATGGGCATTCCGTACAAGTTCATCAAGTTAATGAATTCAGTATCTATTTTGTTTTCAGAAAAAAGCAGAAATGCATTCCAAAATATTTTTTTTTTGTTTCTTTATTAGCCCTATACAATTTCTTGCATTAGGAATTTGTCTTATTGCATACCCCAGCTTTTCTCCATGGAGACACAGACAGGGAGAGAAGCTTGGGGTCAGAGCGCAGGGTCTGCCATTGTACGGCACCCCTGGAGCAGTTGGGGTCAAGGGCCTTGCTCAGGGGCCCAAATGTAGGATTCCTCTGCCAGCTGCAGGATTTGAACCAGCAACCTTCCAGTCACAGGTGCAGATCCTTAGCCACAGAGCCACCTCTCCACCACTGCTAATAGATTAAAGTACAGAGGAGATGTTCAATACTTACCACTCTTCTCAAGTCCCAGCTGGGTATAAAATACATGGCTGTACTTTCTGCCCTTTGCTGCTCAGGATTTGTCTATACTTTCAAAACTCCTCTACTTTCCCAGAATCCCAAAGCAGCCATATCACCCTGCAACTCTCAACTGGCAGCCCACTAAAGCTCAGCAAGTGTGAGCCTGGACAGGACCTGGATGGGTGTGAGACCTGGGAAAAATGGCTGGAAGAGGTGTTAGTGGGGCCAGCAGGGGATGCTCACACTGCAGTCTGAGAGAGTCCTAATGCCCCAATATAGTGACAGGGATGCTATACTATGAAAGGGCTCTGTCCTTCAGATGAGATGTAAAACTGAGATCCTGACTCTCTGTGGTCATTAAAAAAATCCCAGGGCATTTCTTGAAAAGAATAGGGGTGTCCTGGCCAAATTTTTCCATTGGTCCTTACCAATCATGACCTCCTAATAATCCCCCTCTATGAATTGGCTTCATCACTCTGCTCTCCCGCTGGTGTGTGGGGAGCGTTCTGGAGCATCATCCAGGTGGGGCTGCACACTGGTGCTGGTGGAGGGGATCCCCATTACCTGTAAAGCGCTTTGAGTCGAGTGTCCAGAAAAGCACTATATAAGTATAAGCAATTATTATTATTATTATTATTATTATTAGAAGTGCTCTTGTGCATAATTACCCCTGAAATGTTTGGGATTCTAACAGACAACATTCTTTTACCTTTTTACCTCATTCTTTACCACAAATATCACTAAATTATTCCTATAAGAGATATTTACCACAGTCAGGAATTCTATTTGGATCTACAGATTTTTTTCTTAGCCCCCTCTATGAATTGGCCCCCTGGATAGAGATAAAATCATCCACCTGCTCAAAGACTTAAAAAAGAAAAACCCAAAGACTGAGAAAAGAAATACAGATGAAACAGCACGTTGGCCATACCCAAAGATTGATACATTATAGCTCAAGCCCATAAACCAAAGCAAAGCCCCAGGGAAAAACAAGCACAGAAATGCAAAGTTGCAAATCACGATTGCATTTTTCCAAGAAGGACAGTCTGTCTTTATCCTGCAGAGACACGCCTCTGCTGTTTGGCTTCGTGCCCCTAGAACCAAGACTTATAAAGATCTACAGTGCGTTTCCTGCCGTTGTTTCTGGAGCTTGAGCTTCTGGAGCTCTTTTGCTTAAGAAACACAAAGCTGTTGATTTGCCGAACCAGCTGGGTACAGCTCGGTGATCCTCCACGCGGGAGGCTGGAGTGTTACAGAGACAGTGTGGAGAGCTAGCAGTCAGCACCAGCCCACCAGAGGGCTTCAGGAGGCTGTTGACCTGAGTACTTGATTTCCCTCCATCAAGGTGAGTGCCTGCTTTGATCCAGAAAGGAGGAGGAGGGAGCTCAGGACTTGAACAAGAGTTAAAGAGACGTCACGGCTGGAGAGGTGGGTGCCGAGCACACCGGATTGGACATGGCCCAGAACCAACATGGCCCAGACCTGCAGGTCTTTAATTAACAGGCAGAAAGGAGGCAGAAAATTGTCAAAAAGGAGGAACGAAGCACAGATGAAGAAAGCCAAATGATTCACCTCAGATCCAAGAACAGAAACAGTCTGCTGCTGTTGTTGTTTTTAACCAGAAGAACAAAGACGAATACAAAACCTTTTGCCAATTTTATTATCTCCCCAACCCCTGCACACATGCTGTGGACATATGGAGTCAGAATGACCGTTAGCTGTTGGTGCTCTTTTTCTGTGTGCAGGGGAGGACATTGAAATACACATGTCCAGCAGGCAGAGAACAAGTTACTGCAATTCCAGTCCAATCAGGCAGGTACGGTAAATTCTCACTTCATGTGAACTCAGTGTTCATGCCCACCACTGACTTCACTATCCAGTGACCCCACTCTGCAGTGTAAAAATACAGCCAATAAAAACTCACACATACTGATCATCATCTTAAAGTTCCATAGGTCCATAAGCAGATCACAAGATTTAGACCACTTAAATCCTGTTATATACTGCAAATGATGACTCGTTATACAACAAATTGCATTTCAAAACTGAGAACAGGAGACACTTCTTTATTCAAAGATTCCCCCAGTCTGTGAGGATCTGGAAACTTTCCATATCGTGGGAATGTGGGAAGAGCTGCCCAGCCATGTCGTTGATGCCGATACCTGACTTCTTTTGAGGAAAGGCTGTTACAAGCAGGCATACATCTCTTAACTACTAGCAACCAAACAATCTGGATAGGATTAATGACCCTCCTTCGGTCTGTAGCCTCTCCTGTATCCTTGTGCTCTTAAAATGCAGATGATCGCCAAGGTTCTAAGAAGTTTCCCAGCAATGCAGTTTGCTGAAAGTGCTCTTTAATCAGTCAGGGCTCTTTTGCAGCCATTATCATACAGTAGACGAGAGACGCGAAGGCTCTCCCAGACTCTCAGTACCGCACACCCCATAATAGCCCAGGCAGGAAGAGGGACCACGCACCCTGCGCCCTGAATCTCTGACAGAGCACTTCAACTGCAACATTTCTAACAAGAGCACTGCAGCGCGCACAGCAGCAGTCGGGAGCTCTCCGTCCCAATATGCCTGAATGGTGCTTCAGCGAAGCCCGAGGTGCACTCCCAAGTCTCGCCTCCAGAGACCCAGGGTGGCTACAGTGTGAACTTTTCTCCCAGCTCCGGCTGGTGCAGCGTTTGGAGATGAACTACCCGACCGCCTCTGCCCGGCCCACACAAACGCAAAAAAAAAGTAGTCTGCGATTATATTGCTTCGCTAAACTGCATCTATACGGCCTTTTTGGTTTTTATTTTGAGCTTCAAGTGGCGCTGAAAAGTTGCACTGCGGCGTTACTTTCGTGCGACGAAGCCACCGCCGCCCTTTGAACCGTTTCGACATCAAGCGCTGGCGACCGCCGCAGCCAGCGCGTCGGCTGACGTCATCACGCTGGGAGTATTACCCAGCGGTGGGGCAGCTGGAGAGCCACGTTGGCTGCCTGGGGCATGTTAGCGAGGCAGCAGAGATAGAGAGAGAGCACGGGTGCAGATCCGGGGAAAGGAACACCTTGACTTCCAAAAGGGGGCTTATTGTCTTCATTCCAGTAAACCAAACATGTCCTCGCCTCCAAAAGAGAAAGTCGAAACCAAAGCTGGACATCTTCCTGCTGGTATTTTCCCTGCATTGCTGTTATTGTCGGGTTTTTTCTTTACTTCGTGAATTCTTGCAGAATAACTGCAAAACTACTCGAAATTCTGTCGCACACTCCTACCTGTTCTGAAACCGAAGAATTAACGTTTTAATTTTAAAGAAAAAAAAACTTTTCTTTGTTTTTAGGAAGTAACCATGATTTTAACATTATATTCCAATTGGTGTTATTATTTTTAAAGTCTTGAATTCTTCATTATCAATATTAACATGGCTGATGAATAAATATAGATAATTCCCTTGAAATTTGCGTCTCGTATAGGTTATCACACAAATATGTGACAGACAGGAGTAGTTGTTGTAACATGGAACGAGTTCGACTTGATCTTCGTTTTCTCCATTTCCTTTTTTGTGTGCATTCATTAAAGATAATATTTCTGTAACAGTACGTTTAGTGCATGTGTCTGTTTCCCATAACATATCGCATGTATTTTATTAAGTACGTTCAACATGCGAGATTTAGACAGGATTGGATAGCCCGGCTGTACAGACGTGGACAAATCTAAGTACAGCTGTTTCTTAGCACTTTTCTTTCGTCCATTATCGGGAAAATTAATCTTGAGCGCTTTTCCAAGCACCTCCTTGAAAAGACAGAACTTTTAATTGCGCCTGAACGTGTGAGTGTTCACTGAAGAGATGGGACGTTGTTTCTAATCTTTTCGCTGTGAAATTGTGCTTTGTGTAACAAAGCTACGTTTTCTAGGTTTTTTTGGCCGTTGGTATCGCCCAGTGTTGCTTCATGTTTGACGTGCACTATTCCGTAAGGAACTAAGTGCTCACCGAAGCCAAGTAAATCTCCTCATGTGTACCCGTACCAGAAATTTCATTCAGTCTCAGCACTTGGTAGATGTAGTTTCTGCTTTTAATATTTAAAACGTGTCGATTGTGTCACCCGAAACGGAAAACTGAAGAGGTTGGCGTTGTTTTGTGGTCCAGTGTAACGTCAGAATTTCCCAATGGTAAAATTTTAAGATGTACGAAAATATTTTTTACATCGGTATTTGAGATGTGTAAGAATCAGTTTCTGCAGCTTGACAGAAAAGACCTCCTGGTCAGCAGTGATGTTGTGAATAACCCCAATAAGATGAACTGGCCGTTTTGCTCATTCTAAACCCTGTGAATGTAGATACTGCTGCGTATGTTCAGTACATTAAAGGCATTTCTGAACCTGAACAGAAGAAGCTACAACCTGAATCATTCTGTAGCAGACTGCTTTGTCACTCTTGTTCAATTCGCATGGACATTTGCTTTTTTTATTATTAACTTTAGGAGCAAAAGTCTGCTTAAGCTACTGCACTACTGGAGCATGCAATGTTTTAGGGGTTGGAAGCTTGTCTTTGAGAGGTTGTGAGTATTATAAATTTACCACATTGAGGTTTTGTGATGGAGGGTGGGGGGGTTACTTTTCTGCTGGGAGTTAATTGTATTTCTCTTCTTTGTTAGTGAAGGCAGGTGGGATGCGAATTGTCCGGAAACACCAGGGATCTGGAGAGTCGGCACAGGACAGGGACAAGGACAGCAAAGAGTATGAGAGCAGCAGGTGAGAGTCTGGCATGTTTAAGATCAAAGTGCTTGAAACAATGGCAGGGGCTAGCCCTCCACTGAACCGTGCTGCACAGGGCCCTGCTGGGCTGAGCTCCTGCTCTGCTTTCTCAAGCTCGAATATTAGCGAACAGGTTATCGGGGGGTATGGCACAGCGTAAATGAAAATCCACAGCAAGTGGGAGAGAGTGGAAATATCTGTGCACAACAGTGGTACCTGAACATCTAGGCCACAGTGCTCCAGGGCACGTCACAGGCTTCTTCTCCAGAAAGGGCAACAGCTACTGTACACGCCACGATGTGCTTTGGCAAACCAAAAACTGTTTGATTGCCTGTTGCGCTCTGATGAGTCTAAAAGTCACACTGCGCTCAAGCACGAGATCGGAGAGTATGTTGAGACAAGGAAACGAGGTTGCAATCTAAGACAAAAACTGGCTTCTTTTGTCTGCTGTGGCGGTGGATTCATCGCTGCGTGAATCTGCCCTCCAGGGAAGTTGGTGAGGGAAAGGGGCTCTGACGCTGTTTTACTGAAATGGCAGCAAGATGTTGAGGGCTCATTGGTACAGCTCTTCAAGCCAGCTCTGAGGCATCGCCAGGGCACCTCAAGAATGGACGTGTTGAATTTCACCGCGCTGCGCAGTGGCCTGACCTGAGCCCCACTGAAGGGGGTGTCCTGCCCCCTGGCCGGGGCACCCCAAGACACCCCGAGGACGGGACTCAGCAGCCCTGAAGTTAGGTGCTGTTGTCACCCAGATATCAGGGTGTGGTCTCAGCTTTGACAACGACTTGGCTGCAGGCATTCTAGCAAACTGTTCGCGTGTGATTGGCGTTGGAAGCAGTTTGCAGTAAATGAGAACTAGCGATAACAGTACAAGTGTCCGAGTTCCCTGCAGTAGGTAATGCTTGAGCACTCTTTATGCGGCAGTAGGCTGTGCACTTCAGATCTCTCCTGGGATGTTTGCTGCAGGGGTGTGTTCTGATGCCTCACAGGCTGTCCGCAGGTTTTTACTTTACTACCGTTCTCTCGTTAAAGGGTGGCCGGGCATTTAGCAGTGCCGTCTCGCAGCTCCTGCTCCCGGGTTCGAATCTTGGCTGGAGCACCTCCTGTGTGGGTGTCGCTTCTTCTTTCCCGCTTGCATTCGTGTGGAGAGGCGTTTTCTCTCTCCTCCCCGCGGGGAGGCTGCACTTGAGCGGGGGATGAAATGCGTCCCCTCCCATGTGAAAAGCACTAAAAAAATGCAATTTAGAATACCAAGATTATTTCAAAAGCTTTTCTGAATTTTCCACCCTAATATAAGTTTGTCCTTCCACTTTTTTCTTTCAAGCTCTGTATCGTCTTTTCAAGGCCGCTAGCTGCGGTTTTCTGTAAAAGGAATTCGTCAGGCTGGGCGATTTGTTTCTCACTCCAGCCTTGAGCGGGGCCGCAGGTGAGCCGTTCCCACAGGCCTGCTGTGGGGCCCTGTGATGGGCCCTGTGATGGGCCCTGTGATGGGCCCTGTGATGGGCCCTGTGATGGGCCCTGTGATGGGCCCTGTGTGGGGCCCTGTGTGGGGCCCTGTGTGGGGCCCTGTGTGGGGCCCTGTGTGGGGCCCTGTGTGGGGCTGGGAGGTTCAGTTGTGAAGGGATTGAGAATGAGCTCTTTTGCTCATTCCGTAAGACATTCCCGTGTATGACTGAAACGATATGTGCATCCCTTACATTCCAAAAGGAATTGAATGGGAAAATGCCAATATGCAGTAAAATTACAGCTGCAGTTTTTGAGAGCGCTGCAAAACCCCTGATGAGGTTAGATTAGAGGTTCGTAGAGGTTTTTCTTCTGTTATTCTTCATGCCAGTGTCTAAGGTGCTTTGATAATGTATGAATAGATTGTGATCATGTATTGACACTTGTGGCAAAAGTAAATTTATTATACATGATAGTGTTTTTTTTTTCATGTCCCTTATTCTGACTTTCTTCTTTAGTGCCCTAGAAGAGTACTGTGAAAGTCTAAGGCTGGGCTCTTTTCTTATTGAAATATTGTTGATAAGATTTAAGTGGTTGATTTTAAAGTCTTTGTGAAACCCATTCATGTCCAACAGATTTTTATTAAACAAAACCCAGCTGGAAAACTGACTTCAATTTCAGCTATGAACTGGATCAGTTGTGGTTTTCCCTCTTAAACATAATTGTGTTCAACACTGCTGTCTGATTACCGATTTCACCTGAATGAGAGTGTGTAGAGGCTTAGGGCTTATCTGTGCCCAGCTAAATCAGCACTGTGAGCTTGCTTTGAAAAAGCCTGATCTCTTTATTAGTGCAGAGTATATCTCAGTAGTTCTTACAGTCTTTGGTGAAACCTGTTTTGTGATTTCTTTTAAAAATATCACATGGGGAAGAGGCAAGAGTGTCATTTTTAAAAGCAAAATAGGTATTCTCCAGAAGAGATCAGTGCCTTGTGCTATTTGTTTTGGTGCAGTTCAAGAGTCAGGGAATTCTGGGGCGGTTCAAGCGTTGCAGATTTAAAGAATGAGATTATTGTGACTCTTTTGTGGAAGTTCACTAGTCCAGATGTAGGTGGATGGATACTGTTCTTCGCAGAGTTATCTATTAATAACCACCAGTCGAAAATGCAGCAACTTAAATATTCAGTGAAGACCACACAGACTTTGTGGTTGCCATCCTTTCCTTCAAACACCAAGAATTCAGATTTCTTGTTCCATTTTAAATGTGCCACTTTGTTAACCAGACGTGTGGCGGTAATGGGAGAAGAATGAGCTGTGTCATTTGTGTAACATACTGTGAGCTGCTTCGAGTTACCAAGCAGCTTCACCTTCCCTGGGCTCTTCAGTTCCCAGTCTCTGTCCATGTCACCTGGCTGTCTCAAGCTGCTGAACAGTGCAGAGTTAACTGCTCTATAGAACCATTCCCAGCCCAATTGCTGGGTTCCTTCGGTTTTCTTTTGTGTGGATGATTGCATATCAGCACTGTGCACTGGAGCCAAAGGTAACAACCGCCTGTTGTCTGAGAATAGCTGAAAGGCGTAGGTTGGCGCTGCTGTTGATAACACATCCCTAACCTTTCCTCTGAGAAGACAAATATTCTTCAGAGGTCTGGCGTCACAGGATTGTTCCAGAACAAATCGGGACACCCCTAGCATGACACCATCTAGCAGTTTCATTAAACTTGCTGCCTGTTTTCACTTTTTCTATGGGAAGGCTGAAATCAGAATTGCTGTTTGATTGCTTGTGTGGCTGGGAGCTACAGAGTACTGGAGCCTGAGGTTTCAAGCTGACCCCACTGACATTCAGATGGCTCTTGCCTGGAACTGCGCCAGAGCGGACCAGTGCAAGATGCCACACGGGATTGCTGCCCTATGGCATGATGTCATCACATTTTAAGAGGAAATGCTGGTGTGTTTCAGTGTGTAGCTACAGGTAGTCGACAAAAAAGAGGAAGCACTTGTATAAATGAGAAACAGCAAGTCCTCAAGTAGAGAAATGTGTTCTGGTCAGATGAATCATCCAGCACCATGTTTTTGATGAATGGACACATGTGCCAAACTATAGATTTCTACAGCTTGAAAGGATTTCGTAGTGTTGTGGAGTGTATTTTTTACAAAATGAAATCTTGGTACAAAGTGATGATCTTCACCCCATGTTGCAGCATTTCTTTTCTACCAGGAGTTTTGTTTTCCATTATGACTATGTCCTCTCCAAAGACACTGATGTTATCCATATGTCATGACCTTTTCACCAGATCTGCATAAATTGTTGTTACTTTAAAGGTGATATCACATTCAGTGCACCTTGAATTCATCATTGTGAGCATCTGTGTCTGAGGTTTCTTGAAACTGGTGGAGGAAAATCATGTCTTGATGTTACTGCCTTTGACTTGAAGGCAGGAGGATGGTTTTTCTCAGGGTCGAAGATGAAGATTAAAAGCTGATGGCTTTGACTGATGTTATCAATGCAACTTTTCCCTTTAATGTCCTAATTGACAAAGCCTTTTGTCAAATTGACAACAGAGCCATCAAATAGATCCAGAAATTTTAATGTAATGTAAGCTTACAATTTAAGATTAAATTGATCTTTAAAAACCCTAATTAAAAACACTTAGGGTAATGCACTTAATTGAAAATCCCCACAGAGCTCCCAGAATTGCTTTGAGGACTTGATGTGATGTCTGAAAAAAAAATTCTTGCTTTTTTGCCACAAGGATGTAATCACATTCGGTAAAATGAGTGATCTCTCATTGTTACCTTTGTTTTATAAATATAATGTCTTTCATTAACATTTATTGCAATGCTGCTAACTGGAATTTTCAGAACAGTATTATTTTCCCTCATGGAATCGCTTGTGATCCTTTCAACACTTTGTGAACGAAGTATTATCATTTTTAGTTCTTCGAAGCTCTAAGGCATTTACTGCCGCCTTCATCCAGTTAACAGATTCACACTGACCTTCCTCCTTGGTCCGTGACAGATTCCTCCAGGAGTTTAACAGAGGAGCCAGCAGGATGTATGATTGAATTTCTATAGACTTGTAAATCGGCAAACATTTTGAACTGATTGCACTTCAGGCTCTTTCATCATTTACTGCGGTTTTGACCTCATATGCCACATGTGGCAGTTCTAGAGAAATATAATGTTCATAATTAAAAGTTATTGATTTTTATCTGCAAATTCTACAGACTTGTGTGAATTACAAAGATGACATCAAATTTGTAGACTGCTGATTTATGCAATTGATTCCCAATTGTACAATGGGCAGTTCTCCTGTTCTGATTTTTTCTAGTCAGATAGCAGGAGCACATTAAAAATAAGCATGAAGTGTAAAAGTAGGGCAGCTGTGCGGAGGTGTGGTCAGGTGCAGAATGGGAAGGTTGTTGGTTCAGTGCTGTTGTACCCTTGTGCAAAGTACTTCACTCTGATTGCTCCAGTACAAATCATACTTCTCTAGATTTAGAAAGATTAATAAACAAATTAGCCATACAGCTTGTGTGACACAAGACAGGTTTAA